ATCGAATGATGTTTGGATATCACGACGAGGAAACATTCTGCGTCTTTCCGATTTTTCGTTGAGTGGAGTACTGGTAGACCATGATGGATTCGATTTCTTCCAAACCTTCATATACATTCTCCCGCATCCCGCATCCCAGATCCCAAGATGGATTCTCATCATTGTGAAGATTAATGAAGATCTTCAATTCTAGATTATCAACATCCAAACTCTACCAGTCCCCGACCGATCGCATCATCTTAGTTAGTCCCTCTTTCCAGAAATTTCCCGCATCTAAAACATACCGTCTTCAGCACAGACTTCGGTACTTGCTTTCTAGACCCCAAGCTCAATATGTGTATCATGAATCGTTATGTGAGAACAAATAACTTGATACCAATATCTGCATTACAAACATTGAATGGGAAAATGAAAAGAGTGTACGTATGTATCGATGGGATCAGACTTGTATTCGGAAAATTATATCGGGGTTTTGTAATACCCTCCCCCCTACTTACAGTACTAGGGCACAGATAGTGGCCGATCACCTAAATCACACTTAAAAAATAGCAATTTACTATGTTTTGTATATTATATTATTAATATTTATAATAGTTTTTTTTTAAATTAGATTTTTATATATATAGTATTTCTATAGTAATAATTATAATTTTGAATTTTTGAATTCTAATATAATTTATTCAATTATAAATCTGCTATTAAAATAATAACTTATAAAAGTTCTTCAGATTTCGTTTATTTTACTAATGAATTCTAAAATATCTAAAGTATTATATTTCAAATCTATATAATATATTCAATAAGAATTCCAAAAATAAACTATTTAATTTTTTTGAAATTTATTATTAAAAACAAATAAGATTATATAAATATATGTTACAAATTTATATTTAATTATATTAAAACTTATTAATTTTAATAATAAGTTTTAGTATGATCTAGGTAATCGGTTACTATCTATACCCGGTAATTATAGAAACTTTACATTAGATTTATCTTTACGAATCCTTTTTTAGAAAAATGTTTCTTGAGACTTATTTGCTAGATTGGATTTGTGATTGTTGTTTTGCTATATTATACTGTATATAAGCGGGATATTAATATATTAAGTGATACGATAATAAATACTTGAGATTTATTAATAGGAACATATTCACTAATCAAAATATATAGTCGTATCCTTTCTGATTCATCGATTTGCATCGAATTATATTATTTTTGATATTGTCTCGAGTTAGTATGTTCTACGGAGTATGTATTGTTTAGCGGTCTAGTAGAGTTGGTTGTATTTTGAGGGTGTAGATGTTTTTGGGTTGGGAAAGTTTTTAGGTTGTGAATGTTTTTGGGTTGGGAAAGTTTTTAGGTTGTAAATGTTTTTGGGTTGTGAATGTTTTTTATATTAGAAAAATTTATTTTTATAATTATCTTGTAAGAAAATCTATACATGTATCTTATATAGAATTTAACAAACTCTCAATTTAATATATTTCTTTTTATATTGTATATTGATTCTGAGATAGGGAGGAAATATTAAGAAGAATCATATATTGTATTATATATTATATTATATATTTTTATTCTTTATTCTTTATTTCTTATTTTTATTTCTTATTTTTTATTTCTTATTTTTTTTGTAGAAGGATTTGAATGGTTTTACTTTTACTTTTACTTTTACTTTTGTTTTTATTTTAATTTTTATTAGGTACTGTAGTATTCTTATATTATTTATAGATTCTTGGATTCTTGAGTATTGTGACGAATATCACGTGACACACATGATGACTCATCACAGCCTAGTTCAAGACTAGCTTGAACTAGACGTATATAAGAGATAAAGAGATCCCTTAAGGATCTCTTTCCTCTTTAGCTTTCTTATTCTAGTTATTTGACCTCTATGATGTGCTCTAGTATGTGATCGTGACAAGTATACGGTTTTTGAGAAGGGGGGGGGAGGGTATTGGTGGAGATGGAGATGGAAATGGGGATGGGGGTGGGAATTTGGGAAAAAGTTGAATTTGTGGGATTTATATAGATTTGTGTTTGTAAGGAGTGGGAGGAGGAGGAGGAGGAGGGGGAGGGGGAGGAGGAGGAGGAGGAGTTGTGAGTTTAGCTTTTAGAGATTGGGGAGGGAAGGAGATGGGAGGAGTTTTGGGAGTGGAGAGGGGGGTGTGGAGAGTTCTGCTGCGTTATTGGAGGGGTGGTGGTGTGGTGGTGGTGGTGGTGGGGGTATGAGTTGACTTAGGTTGGGTTGGATTGGATTGGGTCAATGGGGGCTGATAGGGTTGGGTTGGACTGGTTGGGTGGGGTGGGGTGATAGAGTTGATGGGGCTTGCTTTTAGATGGGAATAGAGATGAAGATGGGAATAGGAGTCATGGGAATAAGGAATGGGAATGGGAATAGGGAATGGGATGAAGAGAATGAAATAAAAATCGATCAAGAGAATTTCGCGGAATTGAAATTGGAATTGGAATTCGGAGGTTTGTGGTGGTATTGAGTGAGTGAGTGAGTGATGTAGATATGAATGTAAATATATTTATAGATATAGTAGATATAGTAGATATAGTAGATATAGTAGATATAGTAGATATAGTAGATATAGTAGATATAGTAGATGGGTTATATTAAATCTTGATTCTGTTAGGGAGGTAATCGGAGGATAGATTGATAGATGATAGATTGATAGATTGATAGATTGATAGATTGATAGATTGATAGATTGATAGATTGATAGATTGATAGATTAATAGATTAATAGATTAATAAATCAGTAAATTAGAGTAGGGGCTGACTTGAAGTTGGAGGTTTATTATATATGTATATATATGTGTGTATATAATACTATCTATCAAGAGTAAAATAATATTTCATAGAAGAAGAGCTAGGCCTTAAAGACAGGCAATAGAGATAATCTTTGGGCTGGGCTGGGCTGGACTAGGCTGGAGTTCTATTTCTATTATATGTATCATTTATGTTTAGAGAGATTTATTTCTATATATGTGTGTGTGCGTAGTGTGGGTTTTATATGTATCGATAGATGATGGATTTTTGAATTGGATTTTGAGGGGATTTTGAGAGATTTTGAAATATGAGAATGGGGAGATATATAGAGGCTTGGGGGATGGGGGATGAGGGATGGGGGATGGGAGTATGGAATATAAAAGTATAAAATTATAGGAGTTGGGATGCTGAATGCGATGATATAGTATATTATGATAATAAAGAAATATACTATCAAAGACTAAGAATAAGAACATAATTAAAATAAAAGATACGCATCTCATTTACTCTTTTCTATTTCCTAAGAAACGATTTTCTAAGAATATGAGTTTAGTAGAAGAGTCAATAGGTCAGGGAATAATAGTAAGATATAGTTTTTTTTCTATAAAATATATTCTAATCTAGAGTATAAAAGTAATTTTTTATATATTATATATCTTCTCTAATAAACTTATATATATATATATATATATGTTATATTATATTATATGCGATCACTTCTCGAATAAAGTATAAGATGTTATTCTATATAATAAAACGATATTTTCAAGTATAAGTATACTACAAAATCTATTCCAACAAATCATTTCTATATTATTCAAGTTTAAAATATTACGTATATTACTAGAAGTAATATAAATCTGCTCTCGTACTACATAGATTCTAGTAAATGGAGCTATGTTCCTAATTAGAATCTGAATCATTTAAAGCTATCGTAGAATCTATGATATTTGAAATCGGAAAAATTTAATATCTGAAACTCGAGTTGATGATAGAGAGTTAAAATATAGGATTAGAAGGTAAATCTATAACTAAAGCTTAATTCTATAAACGAAAGCTATAATCTAATGTAATGGACTAGAATCTAAGTGATATAAGAGTAAATTTAGGTCAATATTAGTGTCGTGGGAGTAAATAAATTAACTTTGAGTGGTATGAAAGTAGATAATACTGATTTATAGTAATATATGAATATAGAAGTATTTATATCTGAAACATCGATATATTTACTAATCTTCTTAAATATAATACATTCTCTTAATAAGAACGAATAGATAGTATCATATGCGTTTTCTGAGTCTAATATCAAGGAAGATCTAAACAATCCGCGTTTTGTGGAAGTATCTCCTTGAAGGGATATCGGAATTAATAATATTAGCCGACAAACTTCTTTCCTGCTATCTTTATTAGTGATTGAAATTGTAAAGATTGTTGGGGAGTAGATTGTAAATGATGTGTAGTCTGGTATTTTCTGTCTGAGACGTTGTAGGTTGTATAGCGGAGGTCATTATATTGACAATTTGGAGTAATAATACTGTGGTATTGTTCCTAGAATTGGATGGATCACTGGTCATTACATTGGTGGATGAAGAAACCATCGACTGTCTGTCTCCGCAGTTACTAGAGAAGAGGGAGATCATATTAATGATGACGGATGAGGCTGAAGGTTATGGTGGCCTGCATCTGACATATAAATAAGTAATAAAACAGGGTTCTTGGTTTTAACATCGCATAGTTATACGAAATAGAGAAGCGAAGAACGAAGGGGTATGTGTAATTTTCAGCCTTTCCTTAATGTATCCGAAGTGTACGCTTGGAAGGTTTCTGGGTTTCACCAACGTAGGCTTCTCCGAACATAATGCCCTGGACGTAACAGCAACCCACAAAGTCATAGTCATACACATTCTCTCTTTCCTGTCTTTTGACTAGGAACGGAAAATTGCCACCGTCAAATACCCATACCTCATCCCCAGGCTCGGTGTCTAGGTGGCCCAATCCCATCATGCCACCCTTTGTCACAAAAAACTTCTGGTTTACCACCTGCGCGCACATGATCTTTTTGTGCAGCCATCGGTTGTCTCTGGTTCCATCCCGAATAAAGACGGCCACCCGACGCAAGTCATCCGCGCTGGGCCGTCTTTTGAACTCCTGTTCGCTATCTCGCATGGCATCGACGATCACGAGCCTATGAAAAGCCTCGTCGCTGAAATTACCCGTTCGCTTACGTACGGCTGCGTGCGAGATCCATCCAATCCCGAAGCGTCTGAGAGATAACCACATCGGGTATGGTTTCGAAGGGTCCCTTGGTTAGCCTGGCGGGGGCCAAGACATCTACGGTATCTATCATGATGCCCGTCAAACCTAGCACATTGAAATGGTGGCTTGGGTCCGCTGTTGCATCTGTGAGGGCTTGCTTGTCTAGACGATTTTCTCCACAGGAATTATAGATCTGTTTGTCGCCCCAACGCCGGTAATATCTGTCGACGCCATATTCCACAGAGTCATTCATATCGGTCGCCCAGTTCGGTATATCCCTCGTCCGCTTGCCCCGCTCGACACGTGGTTCAAGTGCTAGCAGTGCTAGGCTGTTTTCGTCGAGGAGTATGTCAATAGTAAACGCGCTGTATAGTTCTGCTACGCTTGTCTCGTGGCTGCATTTGTCAGTGTTATGCATCTCAACATTGGGATCCCTGAGTCCGCGAAGGCCAAATACTTTGTCGTGTGGCACGGTTGCTTGGCGACCCCGCCATCGGATGGCGGCATCGAACGCAGAATCTCTCCGTAAATGTGCATTCTGGAGCCAGATAATAATGGCATATTGGGTTTGTGCATAGTGGGTAAGTGGCCAAGTCTTAAATATGCCGTGTTGATAGGACAGTGGCCGAACCAGCAACCACTTGTATATGGGGGGGTTGAGAGCACCAACGACCCTGCCCCACGGGACCTGCAGAGGACCCCAGTGGAATAGTATCTCGCTCGGGAGGATGGCCTCCTGTACCGTCCATATGCGTTTCTACCATGGGTTCTTAGCGTAGCCAACGGATGCCAAGGCCCGGAGATATGCTTTGAACGTGGGAGTGTCTGCAGACGAAATGGAATTTGGAATGGGCGATTTTTCGTCTTCATCTGAGATAAAAAGGATCAGGTCCAGAGCAGCCTTGGCATCTGCCACCGAGAATTCCGGGTCAATCTCCCCCAACCAGGCTAGACAGCGACTACACTGTGAGTAGACATTATGCATCAAGTGGACCTGCGATAGTCTTTCCTCGTTGTCGTCTTGGTTTACACAGAGCTGGTCAATCCACACCGACCGCTTCCTATCTGGTAGCCGGAGATGGCGAAGAGCAGCATGCAAGTTGGTAGTAATAGATCGAGGGTTGCCAGCCACCTCAATATCTACTGTTTCATTAGATTCGCCCCAGCAGTAGGATACGGCCTCGTATTGTGGATTGGGCGAAAGAGCCACAATGGCGATTTCGCAGCAGATAGGTAATGCATCGTCAGTGCCGCCGTGGGGAAGAATGTCAAGGATACGAATTTGATCTCCTGAAAGCCGGCTCCACATCTTGGACACGCCTAATTAGCTTAAGGGAACAGCTAGTGACTTGGAAGGAAGCGTGAGTATACGGAGGTGAAAGGGATCTGAATCGATGCTAGCTCGGCGACCGCAAACGGCATTAAAGGGGGGTTGGGCTGACAATATTTGTAAATAATCCTTCTGTCTAACGAATTGGATGTTGAGCTGTACCCCGCAGATTACGGCGTAGCATCAAGTCTGACATACCGACCTTGTCAGGATGCCAATGGGGCAATGACTTACCGAGTACAGAATGCCACATTGTTACTTATATTTCAAGAAGTAGAGAAATATTTCTTGAAGAATTATCTAGAATGAACACAATCATCTCTCGCCTGGGATCATCCATTATTCCATTTCTAGACGGAGCTTCATTCTTGAGACTGTCTGACCATTTCGTCCGTCCTACCACCCAGAAGTCTGGGCCCTACTTCTGATGCAATTAGGGGTACTCCGAATTCGTACCAGCAAAATACTCAGATGTATGCCGGTTTGACCACTATGATACTTCAATAGTAACTTGTCAAGTCGGACCTGGGGGTGATAGGATAGAAGGTGATGGTCACGTGTGCTCACTTGTGTGATACAGATGTGGTAATTTCTCCCGAGGTCAGAAGGACATCGGCCTTGAACCTGATGCTTACCGTGAACATTGAGGGAGAAATTGATTCAATTTACTGCGAACAGTGTGAGAAACCATATCCTAACTACAGCGCCTTACGGGAGTTCTGATTCATGAACAAGTTCCGAGTCCGAATCATTTGGTAGAAAAATCAAGTGTACTCACGACTTTTCCGATATCGGGAAGCCACGACCCCGCATTCGACCGTTCATTTGGGGATTCACAAATGAGTGTAAAGGATTTGTTCCTCCCTTTGAGATAATGTGTAAATATGTAGTACATTCCATTGTTAATGAAGTAATCGCTTTAAAAAAGGTATATATAACGGCGTCGTTGGTGAGATGACGTCTTTGTGCTGATTCTGGTGTTCTGGGAATTTTCGAGGTCAATTTCGCGGGTAGTCTAGCGTGTACATTGACCCTCAAGGCATTCGATCACATAATTTTTGATAGCTCCGCCAAAAGAGTCTAATCAACTGTTTCCTAAATATACTAAACTATATTACATTTTAGCCTTCATTTTGAACTTTATTTAATTCTCAATTTATTAATAATAAAAATAACTTAATAAAACTTATACAAATAAAAACCTTATAAATTCTCTTTTGAAATTAAAAAAAATTATTAATTTAATTCAATTCCTAATAAAATTATAAATCAATTAACAAAATAATTTTGATACTATAATAATAAACGAAATATTATTTTTTAACCCCCTTTTATTATAATATAATTAATAATCTTCAATAAAATTCTATAAAATTTGTTAGAATCAATATAAGGTGACGACTAGTATAATATAGGTGTAGAACTAAAATAAGACTTTTCATTAATTCCTTCGAAACCTCTTTCCTAAAGCTATATATATATGAAAACTCTTTGCTTGCTTCCGGACTAATAGTCGGCCCGATATCGATTCCACATCGTATCAATACCCGTAATAAAATTCATACCTTATATTATTCTTATTTCAAAAAATCTTTGTTTTAATTTTAAAATTCTAAAACCCAAAATTGAAAGATATATATATAAATATCAAAAAAATAAATAAAAATAAATCTTTATTATAAAAATTTGAATTATTTCCTTAATAAAATAATAGAATATTAAATATCAATCTAATTATAATAAGTTTTCTCTATTTATTAAATCTTTTAGATTATTTTTAAATATTTTATTTAAAAAATTACGAAATAAATATTATTAAAATGTAATATATTTTGAAAGATTTAGGAAATGACCAACTAGATCCTCTAGGAGAACCTTGTGTATATCAGCTAGTCAAAAAAGTAAAAGGTTTAGAAGTAGGTCGATGTATATACTAGACTATTTCGCGGGGTTCTATAGTAGTAAAGTTAATACCTATATATAAATAAAATATTAGTATAAATCCCCATATAAATATTTGATATATACATTATTAAATTCAAACTTTTTTTATTCCTAACGAAATAAATTCTTCATTTTCGACGAATATTTCCAGTTTAAAATAATAACTATTTATTACTGAATTTTAATAAATATAAAGAAAATAAAAGCCCTTTAGTTGAAAACCCTTAGGAAAGGTAAACGGAAGAGAAGCGAGCGTAAAAGCTAAAAAAAAAAAAACGAACGAAAAAACTAAAAGGAAAAAGGGAATAATTATAGAAGTTAAAGCAAAGAAGAAGCAAATAGGAGGGCTAAATAATAAGCAAAGAATATTAGTCGAAAGTTTAAAAGGGGGATTAGTTCACCTCACTTTCAATTTATTCTTCAATTAAAAACTTTATTATTATACTATATAATAAAAATATATTATTTAAGCAGAAATGTCACGGGGCGGGCAGGCGGGATCAGGAATCTATATTCGACGGTGCTAAGAACAGTAGGTACAGGGTGTAGACTAAGACGTAGCTCAAAGAGCTACGATACAGGATCTTCTAACGTGAAGATATACAGAGTTTTCACTTGTAAGCTAGCCTAACCGGGCCTAGCTTATCGCTTATCGGTCACGTGTATTCACACCGTGACAAGAAATATCAATCAACTCTAATCTATATAGTTATATTTCATAATCGATTATTAATCGAATTTAATACAAATTTAAACTTTTTTATATAAAAATAACCTTATCTAAATAAACTAAGCTAAAACTTTCAAAAATCTCCTTAAATCTCTTTAAAATAAAATTTTCTAATTATATATATATATATATATATATATAAAAGTTAATTACATTAATACTATATAACCCATTTTTTCAATATAATATTAACTATTGAAAACTTTAATACAATTAACGAAATGATTTATTCATTAACCACGAATTCTGCCACTACAGGGGGGGGGCGGTTGGGTAGTTTTCCCAAAAGAGTTCGGATACTGCTATGTTATCTAGAAAATTTGAAAGATGAAGTATTGTAATTTTAATATACTTCAAAAATTTTAGGGCAATGAATCATAGTCGGACAACATAGTAGCGGTTATGCTGGTAATAATTTAAAGGTTAACATGTATATTTCATGTCGCTAACATCGTCGTCTGTATGTCTCTCCATGTTGTTTCAACTACAAACTTCGGTCAAAAAGCAGCGATAATGACAATCATCAGTCTCATGCCTCTTCTCTGAGGAAGTCCTCGACTACTTTTGACTATGGATGTCCTTGATATTTCTATCGAGATAACTCTGAAGCACACAAGTTGGCTTGATGCTCCTTTCGCAAGCTTACTACGCACAATAATTACCAAAACAAGGCCATAGCCTCCAAGAGTACTTCAGCACAATGAGCTGGGGGGCTTTAGTTGAACAGTTGATGGCAATAGATTCTACTAGCGTAGCGGACAGTTAAGACAAAGCCAAAGAAAGATATGTTGAGTGCTATTCGAAAATCTCGGTCACGGTTAGGAAAGTTGACATGAGAATGGAGTTAGGGAGAAAGATGGCGACCATAGTACTTGAAAGAATTTGAATGTACGAATTCTCTTACTTAAAGTGTGCCAGAGACGTTTATTTTTGTATCCTTTTCATAGCGAATCTTGCAAAAATCGTTAGTCATGATTATAGCCTACTTGTGAATACCTACATAGAATCGAAGTATTTTGTGTCTTGTAAAGGGATATTTCCAGAAGTAAGAACCGTGGTTTATTATATAGCAAGCATAGTTTGTCATATTGTTGTAGAATTGGAACCATTAAATTGGGTTTCACAATGCTTTTGAATGCGCGAAGAGAAGTGACAAGAAAGGGACGGATAATTTACAGCTGGATTGTTATGGATTTCATAGCGGAATCGTCTTTTTGCATACTCAATCGATATTGGCATGGATGTGGAGATTTGAAATAGAGAAGCTTTGAGAAGGTGGCTTAGTTTCAATGAATCATGGTTTGTGATATGGTGTGTTTAGAGTGTAAAATCCTTGGAGGATATTGAGGTGGGAGGGAGGGGGGAAGGGGAAAAGGGGTTGTCTTTTTGTTTATGCTCGAAGCTTGATTTGCTGGCGTGGTGGAATTTTATGGTACCAGTTTCTCTGCTGCATTTTTTCCCTATTAGTTGCTGGACAAATTAAAAACTTGATCGAAATGTGGAATGTAGATTAAGATTGGAATTGAAAAGAAGGGATGACATGGCATGGGCGTGGATACACATTCCTCTCCTTCATCCATGAGGCGATTAAACTTTCATTCAAGACTCTCCCTTTTATTCTCACTATTCATTGATCCATATTCAACATCATATCAGTACTCAAACAAATCCATCACACAGAGTCGTAAATCTACGATTAAACCAAAAACGAAAGCAAATTCAATTTTACCAAGATACAATCCCCTCAAATCACTTCGCTATCATGTATCTATTTCCTTCAACCATCACTGCCGTCCTCGCTTTCTCAACTCTAGTCTTTGCAATTGAAGGATCGCTTTCTGTATGTTTCCATCCCTCAATATCCCCCCTCTTCCTCTCCCATTTTATCCCCTTCCTTCAATGACACTCGATCCCTCTTCCTTCCAATGAAACCCTCACTAACATCCCCTACCCCCAGCAACGCAAAATCTGTATCGCCAAAGGTGACGTCTGTCACAAAACGGGCGAATCATGCTGTGATGGATTCAAATGTGCGCTTGCGCATGGGGGGAAGGCGGATGTGGGGTATTGTACTGAGAGCGGACTCTTGTTGCAGGATTATTACCAGGCGAGTTTACCTTGAGCAATTGAGGGATTTGTGGAAGGGAGGGTTATATGGTGATGGGAATGTTGAGTGGTTTGGGAGAATTGTTAGGGGCGCTTGGTGCAGAAGAGGGGCTTGTGACAGAGGTGATGATCCGGCATGGTATGTAGGAGTGTTGTTATTGTGGTTTATAGTTTATGGTTCATGGTGTGGTTTTATTGAACTTTTCGTGTTAGGTTTGGATTGGATTTGTGTGAATTGGGTGCTTTTTTTTTGTGGACAGTAAGGGGTTAGGGAGGTTAATTCACGTTGCAAATTTCACATCAATTATGTCAAGCGAGCAATATAAAAATGAAAATTGGTTGTCAAAAATAGATTAAATTAAGGTTTACTTACACGGATATGACCTGATAGTTAAAGGGGTTCATACATATGGGAAATGGAAAGGGAGAGAAGGTGTTAGAAGGGGACCTCAAGGAAAGGAGATGAACTTATATATGATCCGGGATCCAGTGCTTATCAAGAATCCTTCGAGAAGGAATTAGTGGCATTTCTGTGATCACCTCTCACTAAAGGTCTCCCTTTCCGATTCTCTTCAACAGCTCTTCCAACCTCTTCTCCTCTTCTTCTTCTTGCTGACGTTTCTTCTCTTCTTGCTCGAGTCTTTTTCCCTCTTTCTGGAGGTCTTCCTCCTCTTGCCTGCGTCGCTCCTCAAGATTTCTCCTGTGCTCTCTCTCTTGTTCTTTCTTGCGGTTCTCGTCCTCTATTTCCTTACGTAGCTTACGTTCTTCTTCAGCCCGTTCGTCTTTCCTAGCAAAGAGCCTTATACCGTAGTAATAAGCTTGTGCTGGGCGCCCGAGAGCCATGAGGACTTCGACTATTGAAAATTCGTCGACTGTCTTGTAGAAATGTTCTTTGCAGAATTTCCTCAACACTTCTTCATCTACGGTACTTGCAAAATGGACTAAGGATGCGCAAACAGTTATCCAGTGATAAACTTCTTCGTCGTCGAAAGTTGACTTATGCTGTCTGAATTCGATTGTCTTCTTTACCTTTTCTGCGTCCGTTTGGAGGTTACAGATGGAATATGTGAGTCTGTTGTATAGACGATCTTCCTCTAGTTCTGGACTTGATAACAATTTCACAAGATCGTCAACTGTATCTCTTTCCAGAATATTGTCTATGATGAAATCTTCGTCGAATTCCCGCAAACTTTCTTCTGCCCCCAATTGCTCTATCTTAGCTCGATAATCTCGCGCTACTTGCGCAAGAAGGCTATGTGTTCTCACCGGCTTGGAAAACGCCCTCTGTGTCATGTAATGAGGAGGATGAATGGTTGCGATTTGATTTTCAAAAGTGTAAACGAAAGCCATAAAGTTTCTAACTGTGCGAGCATCTAATCCTTTCTGCTCGTTACCAATATGAACATGAATGTCTGCGCTCAAATCACAATTAGTCCTATAAACTGAGTCGATACATCGAAGTACACTTCTTACCTTTTGCTTATTGTCTTCGTTGTAGATGTATGCTGGGCTTTGGATCTCGATTGGCCACCAGAAACATGTGGGTTCATTAGGATTATGACTTAGACCATGATTGATAGTGGCATCATTAGAGATTACCCAGTACTTTAAATCTTCAATGCTAGGGTTTTCAGGTTCTTGTTCGTCAAGTTGAGCCACGGCTGGAAGTCCATTTTCAGTAAGAAGTTTTGCTATGTCTATTTGCAAAGCATCCAACTGTGCATTAAAGTTTTTAAGTGTTTCTTCATGCAGTACCTCGTTCTCTTCAATTACATCGGGGGATCCCAGGTAAGGAAGAAACTGATCTTTGGGATAGTTCTCTGGCCTTGTGATGCCGTATACGCGACGAGGATCATTGGGTTCTAGATCAAGGAATTGATCGGGCAACGATTTCACAGCGAATTCAAGCTCGAAGCCAAATGTTAGCACAAGTGGGCTTGTGGGTGGGAGGGTGTTTTCGTCTGCCATCTTTGATTTATGTTAGAATATGGGCTAATAACTGTCTCTCAAAAATTTCTTTTGTGCTCAGTAACACAATGCCCTTGTTATATAGCAGTAATAGGTTCTTTGTACAAAGTGGAAGCCTCTCAATGTCTTTGTCTTTCTGTTCGACAATAATCAAGTAATAAAGAGAAAGTTGACAGGCATTGTTCAATCTTCGTACCGATGATAAATCTTTCTTTGTGCTCAATGCTCAAACCACAAGGGCTGGTCAGGCATTGTTCAGCAAAAGGAAGCATGTCGCAATCGTGATCTTGTAGGAAGGTTGAATGATTGATCCTACATCTGGCATAAACTCTCAGGTGTAATTATGATGATGATGATAATGATAATGATGATGATGAAAGAGGATGAATTATCAAGACTTCCTGGTAGTATTCATCCTATTATCAACACGTTCGTGTCATTTGATCAGATGAGCAGATATAAGTCGGTACTCTTCTTAGACAAATCCTCAAACAAGCTTATCATAATATTATAGTTAGCCCAAGTTCGAGGATGAAAGTTGTTCAGTATTAAATTTGAGCTCGGAAGTAGTCCATCGGTTTGAGTTGTCGAGGCGGAATCTCATAGTCCGATCATAGTTTCATCTTAATTCTGAGTCTTGACGAGTCTTGAGCCGTCGTAAAGATTGATTCTTAGAGAAAAGTCTGGTTAGGTTTGGTGATCCATTGCAAATGCGTGACCGCGTAACGTAGAAAGTATCTCTGAAGACCTTGCCGCCGCCAAAACGAGGCCGCACAGGGCTAGGAGGATCGGAATCGATGTATAATTTCCCTATTCAGCCATTTTCCAAAAGGCTAAGGTACATTTCACGGCTTATGAATTCCCCAGACATTTGGTAGTGATGTCTGATTTTGTGGCTTTCTACATGGAAGACGTGTCACAAGCTCGAGGTGGTGGCACTGGTCTGATTCTACACGTGATCATTACTATTCTATCAATAACAAGGGTAGCTGGAGAGCTGGGATAACACGAAGTGCTATCGTTGTGAGTTGAATACAGCAACATTACAAGAAGTAACTCGGGTTGTGATCTATTCGTTCTTATGCTCAATTCATGCAATACGTCTTTAAAGTGCTTAACGTAAGGGAAATTTTTACGATGCAGTATCCTTACATCTGTGTTAGTCACACACTCGGCGTCTTATCAGCTTACTGGGGCTGACAATGACAATCTGCCTACCGAGAAGCTTTCCAAGCATCAACGGTGAGAAGTGCAACAGATCTCTACTAGGAAAAGAAAAATGGCACGTCGTCCTCCTGACGATGGTTATCTATATGAGCGTCTTCGTGGACCTCGCCGTGCAGAAACGTTACCCGTCCGGTTTGATGAGAACCCCACACAAATACCGGAAATTGGTATTCACCGCCGGCGCGTTGGAGAGCAGCGCCATGTTGCTGAACCAAGTTTCTCACGCGGCATCATAGATAATGAAAACGATTATCACGATTTCTACAATGATCAGCGGACAACCAGACCACCCAGTCGCTTTGTTTCTCCGAGTCTACCACCACCTGAAATTACTAGAAGTCGTCCCAGAAGTCCATCTATAGCGTCTGTCGACCATCGCAGAGACCAGGCGAAATCTTATTACAGCTCGGCGCCTCCTCCTGTATTCTTTCATGAAGGAGCTGGTGACAAAATTTACTTGAAAAGAGCGGCTGCAAGAGAACAACCTTACTCTACTCGTGCCAGGTCTAGGGAAAGACGTCGCTCCAGATCCAGGTCCCCCACCCGGTTTCGATACAATGGGTCTCGAAGTTCAAGTCATGAAAGAGTGCCCAACTTAAGTATCTATGGTGGAAGATATGGAATCCATGAAAATAAGGCTGCCGAAACCTACATTGAGTCATTCGATCCCGAGTCTGAGGCATATTCTTTCAGGCTTTCCCGCCATAGTAAAAATGCGCTGGAGTCAGAATTGACAGATGACTTAAACTCAGGATCTTCTGAGAAGGGAGTACCATCGCTCCCGCTTCAGAAACATAAATCGTTGTTAATGCAGCGTCCTAAGATTGAAAAGATAATACAATCCCATTATAACGGCGATGGAATCATGGGGGGAATGCATTCTGTCAATTTCACAATAGTACCTGGGCAAGCTGGATCTACTGTAAAATTGCCTTCGCCTCTTTTCAGCTGGGTGTGAGTGCCTTGATACACGTTTTAAGATAATTACTAAATGTTTTAAGTCAATTCGAAGATTCAACAATGGATTTTGATAGCTTCCATGTAAGTCTCTCGGCAAGTGCGAAGGCAAATCGTTATATGACTAATGGCTTTTTTAGAGTAGCATATTGGATCTTGATGGACTAAAAGAAGGTGAAAGACTTGGCATTTCTAGAATACTAGACCTCGTGAAAAGAAGATATCATAAAACATTGCAGGTTTCCAGCCGCACTAAAGTAGGGCATATAATTCCAAAGCTTCTACAAGAATCGCTCCGCGATGAAACTCCATCCACGACATTCAAACCAAGGAAACTTACATGGCTTTGTCTACCGTACTTTTCTCTGCAAAAATACACTTCTTCGACTGTAAAGTCTTCATCCCACCCCCCAAGAACACTCTTACAAACACGGCAATCTATGACGCCGAAGGAGCGTGACTTGAAGCAAGCAGTATGTCACCTACCAGATACACCAGCAGGGTCTTGCTTTCATATCGGTCAGGCTTGGTTCCTCATCCTAGACGACTGTAAATAGAGCCAGTTTGATTTTTTGGGGTCGCATAAGACTGACTAGACTTCTAGCTTCCATAATATCGTGTGCTGGATTATCCACAGCACAAATGAGCAAAGACTCCATTTCAATGGCTCCATTCCGAAGTGACAACTCTAATTCACCGATGCATACGCTTCTTGTGTCAGACTCGGGCTCTACATTATGGTCATTTCCCATTGGAGAGTGTACGACATGGATTGTGAGATTATTCTATTATATTTTGAAACTCGCTGGTGTGATAGCTAATGCCTTCTTAGGACTTTGTGAAACATTTCTTCGAGATTTGGCCACTTAGATTTGAATTTGCGTATGACGGTCATGTAATCGCACCAAAGGATTGGCCAAGGATTTTCAGACGAGCCAAAAGCTCAAAAGTTTGCCTTCATTTTCGACTAAGGTAAGCTCTTTAAAGATATAATTTATTTGATTATTGTTAACACGCGTCAGCTCAAAGTCAAAAAGGCCACCAGCTGGGGTTCTGATTGTACCGAGTGATTCTATTGGAGGATTTGGGAAAGGAAGCCAAAATCCTGAAAAGAATGGTGCCTCTCACCAACCGGACTTGAAAACACCAAAAGAAGATGTCAATACGAAAGTCTCGCATTCTAAATCTGTCGACGCTTCGGAAGTAGCAGAAATGAACTGTTCGGATGAGCTCCACGTCTTCAACTGGATGAACACACAAATTGACAAATCAATTGCTCCAAATGTCACCAGAAGCTCGACAGCCCGTAATGTTGCGATAGTTAATAAAACTTTACTGCATGATGATCTACAGGAAATTGATGATTTCCTTTTGCAGAAAACTAATATTAACGAAAGACTTGCATACAAAGCTAGCCCAAGGCATACAAGAAAACAGTTTTATGATATTTTGTTTGAAGTTGAAAGCAAGATTCGGACGGACCAATCGCTTCAGGCAACATACGAATTACAGGTGGAACTTGCCAATGCTGCGGAGGTTCTATATAGATTCTTTCTATCCCCACAGGATTCTGGCCCTACCACTGAAGAGTTTTGGGGTCCATTATATGAGATAGTTGTAGTGAGTTGGCCGCTTTTCAAGTGACTCTAACCTAAGCTAATTATCAGGCAATGCTTCCATATGGTCTGATTCAAGCAGACGGGTCTCTAGAGAATGATGATTTAAATTCTGTGCCGCAAAGGTTTTCTGACAGAGCTTGGATCGTAGATACGAGAGATGTCAAACAAATCATTGATTGGATGGCGCTCATCGGAAAGCGCGTAGAAGTTTTCAAAGAGCTTCTGTCTGAAGTTCCAATTCTTGAGCGCTGCGAAATCGGTATCTCTGAGAAGTTGCCTCGAGCATGGTTACATGTACTTATGGCTCTCGCTTTTGCAAAGGATATGGCATCTTCCTGGTACACACATATGAATTTATGTCTAGACCTTATGAATGAAGGTATGAAGGAAACTCTTCAGACACTATCGAAATACCAGCTTTCGGAATATGTTGTTTTTGCACCCTTCGATGTGGCTTCTCTCATGACCTTTCAGCTTTCGCAAGATTTGACGGGCTCCTGTCCAGATATCTGTACGACGTATGTTGACTACATGATATCCCTGGTAAGTGTTCCGACATAAGCAGTACTTTAGCCATCTAACAAGGCACCAGGAATCCGACATCGATGCCGATCCGATCAATAGAGAGCATCAAGGTAGAATCACTGACCTGAAGCAAGAAATTTCAGTCATTCTAGAAACCCTAGAAACTCAAAGAGAAGTCATACAAAACGCTTTGTACGCTCAATCGAGATCAAATTACCAGAATGCCAGATTTAATCGAGTTATTCCTGAACATAAATATGAGTATAAACCGCCAACATTTTTTGAACCTCGTACTGCAAATTACCGGAATCACGAGCGATCGGTTTATCATGGCGACAACTACGGAGATTTGGAAATCATGACTACAGGTCCTGCAATTAACCAGTCAGCTCGCGATAACACCCGTGGATTGCAAGGTCTCCTCTTTCGAGAAAGTCTCGCACTTATTGATGAGCGTATCGAAGTATTTCGTGATATCAACAGTCGCGCTATGTACCTCGAGGATTGGGTAATATTTTCCCTTGCATTCACAAGTTCCTATAATATCAGAGGCGACTATTAATACAATGACTTAGAATCTTCGAAGTATTGATACAAACAAAGATAGACAAGAAACTGCCGTCTACGCATTCACAATCGTAACGATTATATTCCTGCCACTAAGCACTGTCG